ACCGGCAGGGTCCGTGGCAGAAGCCGCCTCCCTGTGGAGAACCCCGCCGGTAACATCTTGGGGCGCTTGCTTTTGTGCTTCCCCAGGGCGCTGAGACCAATTCATCTTTACAGTGAGCCTACGATGGGGCCACTGACTGGCATCCAGAGGCTTCTGGAAGTTTCCATCCCATGCATTCCCAGCTCACCACGCCCGGAGAGCCTGCTCTCTGTCTCCTGCCCCACAGGGGGCTCCTGGCAGCGGCGCCCCGCGGAGGTGAGGGTGTGTGTTACAGGGGGGCGTCCCGTGGAGGTGAGGGTGTTACAGGGGTGCCTGGACGCAGCTGAGGGGAGCCCAGGGAGCTCCCGCCTCACTCGCCGCCCTGCCTGGGAAGTGGGGAGGGTCGTAGGCCCGCTGTAAGGTCAGCCGGTTAATCAGTGCACCAGGCCAGGAGGGGTGCCCTCGGAGGGGCCCAGGTCCCCGTGTGCTGCCAGCGCTGGTGCTGGACAGACAGATGGAGGGACAGATGGCTTCCCTGTGTTGCCGCCTCTGCAGGCCCGGAGGGAAGCCCCTGGCCCTCCTGGCCTGGTCCACACGGCCTGTGCGTGGCAGGGAGCCAGGGTCCCGAAGCGTGGCGCCTGGGCCCCCGCCCGCCCCCTCCCCTCGGGAACAGTCGACACCCCGGGCTCCTTCCTGGCGTCTGAGCCCTCCTGTTGGTCGCCGTCTCTGTAGATGGGCCCGTGGCCCGAGCGAGGAGATGGGCGGGTGGTTCGCAGACGCGTGTTTGGGGCTCAGCTGGAGGCGCCGAGGGTGGGGGACTACGCGGCTGAGCGGAGGCCCAAGTCCGGTCTCCCCTCCCCTCTGGGGCGGTGCAGTCTTGTGGACTGCTGAACCTCTCTGGGCCTCAGTTTCCCCATTGAGGTCAGGACAGTGCCCCCCGCTGGGCTGTGCGGATGGCAGTGGGCGGGCCGGCCCAGGGGCTGTTACAGTGAGCGTGGCCATGTGACCATGTGCCCGACGCCAGTGTGGGCCTGTCTTGAGCGCCCAGGCAGGTGGACGTGGCCGCTGGGGGGGGGGGGTCTGCACCGGCAGCACCCTCCCTTCACTCCCTGACCGTGTGCCCCTCCTGCATGGACCTTGGGGGCTCTGCTTCCCGTGGTTGAGCCACGTGCCCCTTTGGACGGAGCCACGTGTCACCCTCCCTGTGGCCCCTCTGCTGGTCTGCCCAACCCTTCCCCTTTGTCCTTCCCAAGGCCCTGTCCACTCTACATCCGCACCCCGTGGCCTTGATGCAGCTGCCCCTGGCCTGAGGAGTGGGGGAGGGGTGGGGAGCGAGCCCTTGTGCCACCCGCCTCCGGCCCCCCCAGCGGCTGCTGGAATCAGAGGCCTGGTGAACTCCCCGTGATCGCCTCTCTGCAGCTTCTAGGAGGGCCGGCGCGCCTCAGCTGTCACTCGAGAAGGAAGATAAAACGTCCCAGTGGCTTCTGAACAGAAGGGCTGTGGAGCCTGCCTCCCGCCCCGGCTGTCTGGGCTGCTGGCCACCACAGGGAAGGGGATGGGCCACCCCTGGCCCCCGTTGACCTGATGTGAAAAGATGTGCTGGGTGGCCCAGGCGGCCCCCACCTCCGTTCCCCTCTGCCTCCTCCTGCCCCTAAATGCCTCAGGGCCCTGGCCTGCTTCTCGCAGGGAGCCTGGATCATACTGTGCCTGAAGTCCCCCAGATCCAACCTGCAGGGACCACTTGGGGTGCCTTAGGGGCCAGTGGCTGGATCTGGGGGCTCCTAGGGTCCAGTGTATGGCCCAGAGTCTGAGCTAACACAGGGAGAGGCTGTGCCTGATGGTGATGTCCCTCATGCTCCCTCCCGCCCCGCCCCCCCCCATACAGGGCTGAGGACTGCCTGGGCTCGCATCCTGACTTCCCCACTCTCCGCCTCCACCTCTTTGGGCCTCCTTTTTCTCATCTGTAAAGTGGGGATAATGAAGAACCTGTTTGAAGGGTTTTCGGAGTGAAGGAAGTAAAGGCTGCCTGGGGCGGTCCCTGAGCCGCTAAATGTTAGTTATGAGCTCTCTTGGCTCTTGTTATCAATTCTTGTTGGTTTTATGACCAGGCTGCCAGATTGGATGTTGCTGTGTGCGGGAGTGAGGGCTGCCTGGAGGAAGAGGGCCGCAGGGCTTGCGCGCGTTGGGTGGGACTCTGGTGGGTGTGGGAGGTGGGTGGGGGAGGGGCTTGTCTGTGGGGAGACGGGTTGGTGGAGGACAGCAGGCAGGCCCAGGGGCCCCCTGTGTGCCGGGTCCATCGTGAGCTGCGTGGGTGCCCCGGGCACTGGTGCCTCCTCTGTATGCAGCTTCCCCTCTGAGCCCGGCCTTGCTGGCCCCACTGCACCTGGCTTTGGGTAAAGACTTGTGGCCTCAGATGGAGTAGGTCCTTTCCTGGAGGACCCGGGGTCTGTTGGGGGGGCAGCCCCGTCCCGGGTCCAGGCTGGGAAGCCAGGCTCCCTCCCCGTGGATTCTGTCCTCCGTCCCATCCACCTCTCCCGCCTCCGCTGGTGGCCGCCTGGGCTGGTGCAGGCGCCTCCCCTTGGCCACCTGCTTCCACCCCGTGCACGGCGTGCAGAAGCCTCGTGCGGGTCCCCCTGCCCTGGGCGTAGAGCCACTGTCCGCAGGGCTTGTTGTGCCCAGCGTGTCTCCCTGAGTCCGCACGCCCCGTCTGTTCCAGCTGCGGCTCCGGGGCCCCTGGCCCCAGCGCCTCGCCCGCGTTCTCTGCTCCTGTCCGCCCAGCCCTGCCCGGCCCCACGCATCTGCCACTGGAGATGGGAGAAGGGAGGAGGTAGGCAGAGGAGAGGGTCGGAGCCGCCAGCTGTCGTCTGGGGAGAGCGCCCACTGTGCCTGACCTTGCCTGAGCCCTTGATGGGACCTCTGGGGGCCTGGATCAAGGTGGCCACGGGGACGTGGCTGTTCCCAGCCTTCCCGCAGGGCCGAGCGCCAAGCCTGGGGGCATCGTAATGAAAAAAAAGTAACAAGGAAAGAAGGGGATGGAGAGAAGGGGTGGGGCTGTCCCCCACGAGCCGCCTTCAGCTGCCTTGTTTAGGGCTCTTTGCCTGGGCAGACAGGCTCTTGGGGCCTCCCCAGTGGCCCTGGAGTAGGGGTGACGGTGGTGCCCAGCGGTCATCAAGCGCTAGCAGGGTGCCCTGGCTCTGCAGGCGCTTCTCATCCACTCTGAGGCCAGTGAAGCTCCCCGTTTCCTCTTTAGAGATGGGGAAACTGAGGTGTGCGAGGTGACACTACTCATCTCCAGCTAAAAGGGGCAGAGCCTCTGGTTTGAACCTGGGGAGCTTGGCTGCAGAGCCTGAGCACTGCACAGAGGTGTCCCCAGAGCCGTGCATGGACCTGTCCCCAGAGCCGTGCGTGGACCTGTCCCCAGCATTGAGAAGGCAGACGTCCCTGGCGCCACTTGCCTCTGCTCGCTGGGGTACAGCACGGGTGGAGAAGGGGCTTCTCAAAGGCCCCCTGGAGACTGAGATGTTTGCGCATGAGCAGAGATATCCTGGGGAGCAGGCCCATTTTCTGGATGGGAAGACTGAGCTCAGAGAGTGCTGGGGGCTTGTCCAAGGTCACAGCTGTTAGTGGGAACAGAGCCAGGTGTCTGGATTCTCTCTCCAGTGCTCTGCCCAGTGTCCTTTTTTTTTTTTTCCTTCGTGTAGAAGCTAACACAATAAGAACGCAAAAACACGTGGGTGCGGATGGATGAATGATTATAAAGGGGGCGCCGTGTGATGATCAGCATCCCAGCTCCTGTGGGAATCCCCTCATTCGACTCTAGTGTGACCCTCTGTGGACCTGTGTCTCCCTGTGCAAGCCAAGCGCTGCCCTTCTCAGAATCATCCGTGTGGAGCACGTGCTGCCCTTCGCGCCTGCCTGTGCCCCGCCGTCAGCCTGGTCTCCCCATCGGGCCGTGTGCGCCTGTAGTCTGTTACGCCGTGTTGTTGACAGGCAGTGTTCTGGGCTCATCTGTTGCTGGACAGCTGGATGCTTGTCAGATTTTTCTTTTTAATGTAATTTATTTATTTTTGAAAGAGAGCGAGCATGAGCAGAGGAGGGGCAGAGAGAGGAAGGATCCCAAGCAGGCTCTGCATGGTCAGCGCAGAGCCCGGCGCGGGACTCGATCCTATGAACCATGAGATCATGACCTGAGTGGAAACCAAGAGTCAGCATGCTTAACCGACGGGGCCACCCGGGTGCCCCAGATTTTGTGATTATGTGCAAAGCCGTCACACGCATTGGTCTGGCGCCTTTGTGAGGAGCTGTGGTTTCGTTGCTCACGTGCAAAGGCCCAGGGGTGGGATTGCTGGGTCCCGTGGTCACGAGACACTTGATGCCTGTCTGTCTGTGATCTTAGCCATCCGGGTGGCCGTGTCGTGGGCTCTCAGTTTTAACTTGCACTTTCCCAAACGGCTAACGAAATCGGGCACCTTTTCACGAGCTCTGGGCCATCTGTGTGCCCACTTTTGTGAAGCGCCTCGGGTCGACTGGCTCTTTATATCTTCGTGCGTGTCATTTACATATTATGGACCCTAGTGTTCGTTGTACTGTTATTGACTTTGAACAGTGGTTCGGAAACTCTGGAGCGAGAACAGCGGGTGCATTCCTTCGGGTGTCACTCTCTTGTTCGTAGGGTCCCCTGGGAAGTTACTGGGGGAGTGACCCTCTGACATGGGCCTGCGGCTCCTTGGTGGCCCTGCCTGGGTGTAGGCTACCCCCCAGGTTGGGATCCAAGCCCAGTGACTTCCTGGCGGTGGGACAGGGGGTGCGGGACTTTGATTCCGCAGGCTCAGCGTCCTCACCGTCAAGTGTGATGGCAGTCCCTCAGGGTGGTGGCCGCAACATGCCAGGCCTCAGGGTACAGCACACCAGGCGTGGGGCACCGGGCCTTGCCATCCCCACCCGCACGCGGACGTGGTCGTCGTAGCTCGTGTGTGGAGGCCGCTGACTTTTTACTGACAAGACCTGGATTTTCTCTGCAGGTTCCCGGCCTCTTTGAGGACTCGGCGCCGCTGGAGGCCGTTTCTGGTAGGTTCCCGTCTGTCCCCTCTCACCGTCTCTAGCAGATTCGCTTTGCTGGGACCTTCTCATGGCGGGTTTGGGAGTTTCTGGAGAAGCCAGACTCCTCCTGGTGGACGGGGTTGGGGGCTCGATGTGGCCTTGTGGGGTGCGATCTGGCACCCCAGGGTTGCCCAGGGTGGGGAACGCCTCGGGGGGTTGGGGGGTGCCCTGTGGATAGGACATGACGCCCGAGGGAAGGGGACCCTGGCAGTGTAGATGTGGGTGGTGGGTTTTCTCTGTCTCTGGGGCTCAGGGCCTGTCGCTTCTCTGCTGTGAAGGTGGCTGCGGGCTTGAGAGGGTGGGGCAGCAGGTGACGGAGGAAGCCCTTGGGCTGGACGCGTGTGTACCACCGTGGTCGCCATGCCGGCGGGAGACGAGGGGGCCATGGCCCACGCCCTGGCACTGCTGTTTCCGTGCTGGGCGCCCAGGGCAAGCCACGTCAGCACTGCGTGCCTCCCTCTCCTCACCTGTAAACTGGGGCCGCCGGCAGCATCCCCCAACACGTTGCCGTGACGACCAAATGAGCTGGTACAGCACAGAGCCTGGCACCCAGTAGGTGCTCAACGAGCTGATCTCACAGCTGGTACTTCCCATGTGTCGCCCACTCTGTGGATCTCACGGCAGTGCCCCCAAACAGGCTGTTATCCTCATTTTACAAACAGGGAAACTGAGGCACGGGTAGGTCACCTGTCCCAGATCTCAGCTGGAAGCTAAGAGCCAGGACTCAAAACTTTGCTGAGCCTCAGAGGGAATCTGGTGGATTCTTCCCCAATGTGCTCATTTGGCGTCAGGCAGCCTGGGGCCCGTGCGGGGCAGGTCTGTGCCCGCTGCCCGCCCCTCCCCCTGGTCCACTGGACGGCAGGGCCTCGCCTGCACCAGGGGGCACAGGAAGGGGCTGGGGTGCCACGGGAGAGGAAGGCCGTCTGGCAGTGGGTCGTGTGTGCTGGACCGAAGCTTGGAGCTGAGAATTCGGACGTGGCCTGGCTGGCACACAGCATCTTTTTTATATTACACGGATTTAAAAAAAAAAATTTTTTTTTAACTTTATTGATTTATTTTGAGAGAGAGACAGAGCACAAGCAGGGGACGGGCAGAGGGAGAAGGAGAGAGGATCCCAAGCAGGCTGTCATCACAAGAGCCCGGCACAGGGCTCAAACCCATGGACCGTGAGATCGTGACCTGAGCTGAAATAGAGATTCAGATGCTTAACCAACTGAGCCCCCCAGACACCCCTGTATTACACTGATTAAAAAAAAATTTTTTTAGTGTTTATTTTGAGACAGAGAGAGACAAAGCGTGAGTGGGGGAGGAGCAGAGAGAGAGAGGGAGACACAGAATCTGAAGCAGGCTCCAGGCTCCAAGCTGTCAGCAGCTGGGCTCGAACTCATGAGCTGTGAGATCATGACCTGAGCTGAAGTCAGACGCTCAACCGATTGAGACCCCTGGATGCCCGTGTGTTACATTGGTTTTTAACCGGGAGGGGCAGCTTGCCTTCCCCAGCACAGATCCCCTTCAGCCACTTATTATCTGTGTGACCCCGGGCAGGACGGTCCTGTGCCTCAGTTTCCCCATCTATAAAATGGAGATGCACTCAAGTCTCCCCCCACCCTCACCCCAGGATTGGGGGATTGGTGATGAGTGGGTTGTTGCTAGGAGTTCAGTGGTTTTGTAATTTGTTTTAAGTAGCTGGGGGGCTTGCAGCTGAGGGAGCTGAACCCACGGACCCCCTCCCCCTGTGCCTGGTCCCGTCACTGAGTCATGGGGCTTGGTGGGGGAGGACAGAGCGCTGACCCAGGCCTGGCAAAGACAGGCCGTGTTCCAGGAGACCCTGGTGGGCGTGACGGGGCCACTCACTACACGCCCTTCCCCCAGAGCTGGGGGACTTGGGGGACTAGCAGAGCGTGCCTCCCAGGGGGGCTGTGGGGAGGGGGCTCTGGGTGTCCAGGTGAGCACCGGGCCCCCGCCCTGGAGGCAGGGGCGGTCAGTGGGTGCGGCCTCCTGGAAGTGGCAGCCAGGCCCCGTCCCGACTCTGACGCTGAGCACCTGTCCGCCTGCCCAGGCTCCATGAGCAGTGGGCTTAGTGGGTAGTAAGCGGCTGCCGCGTCCTTACTTCTTACCACCGTGCTGTTCTTCTGGGGCGCAGGGAGGGGGTGTCAGCGGGCCCAGCCCCCACGGGGTCGAGGGGGTCTGAGCAGCCGGCAGAACCCCCAGGCTGAGCCAGCAGGGCTGAGATCTGGAACTTTCTGCTCCTCTGGGCTCCCAAACACCTCCCACCGTTGTCCCCCCATCAGAGCCACACTGGGTGCAGGCGGGGACCTGGGAGAGACAGCTGAGGTCCCCTGTGCAGCCCTATTCTGCATCAGGGGAAACTGAGGCTGAGGGGTGGGTAGGGGTCTCCCGAGGCTGTGGTGCTGCGAACTTGGGCCGTTTTCCCCGACACCCAGCCCTGGGGGGCCGTCCTCGGGCCCCCGGGCGGCTCTGCCAGGGGTGCGCCTCCACTTCCGTGCCTCGGTTTCCTCGCCTGTCAAATGGGTGTCCTGCAGGGGTCGTCGAGGGCATTGTTGGCCGCAGCGGGCTCAGCGTATCGAGCTGGCTGCTCTCGAGAGGTTTGATTCCTCTTCAGAAGACAGAACTGTTCTTTCTGAAGCACCTGCTGTGTGCCAGGCACCGTTCCAGGGGGTAGAGATGGAGCTCTGGGTAGAGTGGGCGGGCGTCCTGTGCCCCCTGGGCGAGACAGATAGCAGCAAGTCCCGTACACAGGGTGTCCGCGTGGGGGACCGCTGGGGCGAGGAGCGACAGAGAAGGGCTTGGGAAGTGTGTGGGCGGGCTGGGGGCTGGGGAGTCATAGGCGGGTGGTCAGGACTGGTGACATTTGAGCAAAGACCTGCTGGAGGGGCGGAAGGGAGCGCAGGTCTCTGGAGGAAGGAAGAGTGTCCCGGCAGAGGGAACAGCTCATGCAAAGGCCCTGAGGCAGTGTGGACCGGGCCTCTGGGTTTGCAGGAGTCCGTGTGGGATCTGGGTGGGCTTCTCTGCTTTGTTCTTGAGCCTTTGTGGCCCCCCCTGCCCCCCAGGAGGTAGAGGGGTAAACAGGCTTGTGGGTTGAGCCAGGCCCTGGGCCCCAAACGGGTGTCATCCTGCAGGGGAGGTACGGGCCACGCTGGTGGTAGGCCCCCCAGGGGGTGAGCCCGGTCAGGTTTGGTGTCTTTGAAGTTGAAGGAGGGCGGCCCAGCTGGGGTGGTTTCCCTTCCTCCTCCTCCTCCTCCTCCTCCTCCTCCTCCTCCTCCTCCTCCTCTGCCTCTCCGTCCTCCATCAATCTGCCTTCCCGGCCTAATGGGGAGCCTTCCTGCCCCGGCTGAGTTATCTGCTTGTCACGCGCGGCCCACCCGAGGACGATAAAAGGGCTTTTTGTCTGCAAGCACTTAGCTTCCTCCTCTGGGGCGATCCATCATGTCTGAGGAAGGAGGGAGGCAGACAGATGGGGGCGGGCGCGGAGGGGGTCCCAGGAGCCCCCTGGCAGGACCCAAGTGGCTCCTTAGCCCAGAGACACGGCCTGTCTGGGGACAGGCAGGGGCGGCTGGGGGGGTCACGGGGGCGGGGACACAGAGGCGGGTGTATAGGGACAGAGGCGCCCTGAGACCTTGCCATGCAGCTCCCGGGTGGCAGCGTGAAGGCCTTGCTGGGACCTCGCCTGGGGGGTCTGGTGGGACCAGAGCCGGCGCGGGGGAGCAGGCATTTCTGAGAAAGAACCCCGATAAACAGGTAGAGGGGGAGATGTGTGAAGGCCCAGGGGACCGGCGTCCAGGGTGACAGTGTAACAGCAGCCCGTGACCCTCACGTTGCCTCAGACCCCCTTTCGGCGCCTCGTGGCATTATCTCATTTAATGGTCAGTGCGGCCCCGCGAGACGGGGACTCACGTTGCCCGATTCTGTAGGTGAGGAAGCTGGGGCGCAGGGAGGTGATGCCGCGGCCCCAAGCGTGCGGGCGGCAGCGGAGGACTTGGGCTCGGGGAGCCCGGCTCTGGGGTCCTGGTGCTGGCAGGTGTCGCTGGGGGAGGTGGTGCTTGGTGCCCAAGCCCCGCCTAGGTTTTGACCCGTGTGGTGGGGGGGGGGGGGGGGGTGGCTCCTGGGCTCGCTGCCCGGCAGGTGGGCCTTGCTGGGCCTTGAGCCCCTCCCGGGTAGTGCACAGATGGGGGTGGGGCGGGGGTGGGGGAGGCTGACAGCTGATCGGGACTGGGGCGGCCCGGCTTTCCGGGTACCCTGGGGAGAGAAGATGGGGTCCGTCAGCCTGCACGCAGACAGGTGCCCAGGTGGGCGCGTTGGGGGCCTTGGCCCTGAGAACCCCCCTCTCTGAACTCCACTGGCTCCACTTGGGCGACGGGTCCCCCGGCTTTGTGCCCGGTTGGGTGGCACCCTGGTCCCTCCACCGGGGAGAGGAGGTGAGGGCTTCCGGGTTCTCAGCCCAGGGCAAGCTGCCCCTCCCGTCCTTCCCTTCCTCCCCCTCCCCCGCCCCGTGCATCCCCCCACCTCCCCCTGTATCTCCTCTCCTTCTTTACTGCCTCCCCTCCTCCCTGTAACCCCCTTCCCACACCCCCCTTCTCCCCACAGGCCACCCTCAAATGACAGCAATTAATGGTGCCTCTGATGGCAGGCGGGGAGGCCGGGGCTGACAGCTGAGTGTGTCTGCCTGCGGCTGGCCCTCTAATCGGGCCCGGGGGACGCCCCCTCCTGCTGTGGCTCCCAGGTGCCGCCTGCCGCTCCATCAGTCACAGGGAAGGAGGAGCCGCCCCCGGCGGGCGGGTGCACGTGAGCGGGCGCAGAAGCTCCTCTCGGTCCCTGTCATCTGTGTGTCCTTCCTGAGCTGGGGGCTCCGGGCTGACCCTCGCGCTACCTCAGTTAGCGTGCACGTGAGGGCCAGGACCCCGAGGTGGAGGTGGCCTTCCCCTGGGGACGTCCTCTCCCCGGCCACC